CAATTGAAGCGCATTGCTGGCAAGAAGGTCGACATTGATGAGTCTGGGAATTTGACAAGAAAGGGCAAGAAGCTTGGTTCCATTGAGCCTGTTCTCGACGAAGAAGATGAATCGGATGACTCTGATGAAGACTCTGATGAAGATTCTGATGAAGAACAATCGTTGGAAGGCTGCACTGTTCGTGAAGACGGGAAGGTGGTCAACGATGAAGACGAAGTTGTAGGCCAAGTTGTCGAAGGGTCCTACAAAAAGCTTGAACGGTTGGTTGGTCGAAAGGTGACTTCTGATCACACCATTGTCAATAAAAAGGGAAAGGAATTGGGCACTGTCGAACCACTTGAACATGATTCCGATGATGATTCTGATGATGAGTCTGACGAAGGTTCTGACGAAGACTCTGACGATGAAGAGCAGTCATTGGAAGGCTGTACTGTTCGTGAAGACGGTAAGGTTGTCAACGATGACGATGAAGTCGTAGGCCAAGTTGTCGAAGGGTCTTACAAGAAGCTTGAAAGGTTAGTTGGCAGAAAGGTGACTCCTGAGCACACCCTTGTCAATAAAAAGGGCAAGGAGTTGGGCACTGTCGAACCACTTGGCGACTCTGATGATGATGAATAATTCTTGGAAGGCTGTGCTGTTCGGCCTCAGCCGTGGGCTAATTTTGCATTCCGGTTTCATATTGCAAGTGAATCTGTAACTATATCGGATTATCCCTCACAAAGGATAATCACTCACAAAATCACTCAACATACGACCATGTCAAATTGCGAAATTCAGTACAGCCAAATTCCTTGAAGCTAGCCAAACTAAGCTATTTTCACTATCCAGTACTTCTTGTAGTACTTTCTGTATGAGCTATATTATACTCTTAATTCTTCATAGTAATACATGCACTTTGTCTAGGTTATGCTTTCTCTATATTTCTTTCTTGACTTACTCTACATATGTAGCCTACTCTCAATTATTATCATTCATATCCTCGAATGACTTATCAATTGTTAATTTTGGCAAGCGCATATCTTCCATTCTCGTAATTCATTTTCTGTTAGGACTTCCCTGTTCTTACACCCACGTAATTTTTAACTGATATCTTCATCGAGTTCTTTTTCAAAATGTTGAAGCCACTACTATGAATTAAGTCGTGTTTTATGTTCTTTTCGTTGTTCTATGTATTTAATCCTGCTTATGTGAAACTGAGTCTCCTATTGTTATATGAGTATATACTAAGTAACTCTCGCGGAGTTTTCTCACCGTAGCCCGACCAATTCCAGTACTAACATTCTCTATGCTGTTTGATGAACGTGTTCTGAGAAGGTATGCCTTAATTCCACCGTGTCACCATGGACTCGTTCCATATGCGGACACATTGTAGAGCTTGCATCTCTCTTATCTATTATCCAATTTTGTAATGTTCCTACCAAATACTGGTCGTCCTCGATTATAGAACGGCAATGACTGCAGTGACAACTTATTTGGTGCTAACATTACACCATATCCGATACTCCCCCAGCGAGATCTCCGATTCAACAAATACTCTTCCACATCACCCATACCATATACAGTATATATTCTATCTTGATTTCTAAGAATTTTTGTTCGTATTCTTATTCGCTATCATCCTCTTCGTCAAAAACTAACTTGTGATTTTCATCAAATATATCAACCCGAAAACTGTGCTTTGTTGCTAAGCAATATATTTGGATCTTATATTACACTAAGACTTCACTAAACTTTCGCTTTGAACAGTAGATAAGGTTTTTGAAGGGCTAATATTGTTGAAGCATGCGTAAAAGTTTTCGTACGCATCTTGCAGAAATAAATTTGTCATCCCAGGCTTCAAATCTCCTTATGCAAATGAATTATACCAGACCAGGACATAAAAGAAACAGGTTGGACAGAGGAAGTGATTTTGATTGAAGATAAGAATGTTTAGTAAGAAAAGGTATTCTTGATATCTATATGGAGCCATATTGCCGCGATAGTCGATCTTGCGCATGCGGCTTACACCGAAAGCAAGGGCTTGTGCGTCAAGCAATGTTTTCTAACTATAAAAGCAAATTATACATGTATATTGGGTACGAATCTAAGATAAACAAAATAAAACGAAAGTGTTGTATTTTTTTAACTTGTTTCGTTGATTACAGTAACAAAGCCAAGGTAAGATCACCATGGATCTTGGCTTGAATTTTTATATCAACCTCCAAGTTCAAATCAAGTCTCAATCGTAATTCCTTTTTATCTTGCTCTTGCTGCTGCGGCTGCGGCTGCACCTGTTGCTGTTGAGGTTTATCGTCACTCATCTTGGCCATTTGTCGCTGCTGTTTTTTGCGTTCTTTTGGAGTCATCTTTGCAAGAGCTTTCTGCGATTGGGACTGCTTCTTCTTTTTCTTCTTGCTGTCCTTTTCATTACTAGGTTGTTCAGCTGCTGCTTCAGGCTCTGGCTCTTCTTCGGAGTCGGAATCGGATTCGTAATCTTCTTCAGAGTCAGAATCAGACTCGTCTTCGTCCAGTTGCAATTCGTTCACAGGTTCTGGTTCTTCCTGAGGTTGTTCTTGCAAACCCTTTTTGTTCTTCTGGTTCTTAGAACCAGACTTTTTCTTTGATGTTTGTTGTTTAGAAGCCATTATAAATGACTATGTATAAGAAGAAAGTTGTAATGAATAAAATTTTGAAGCAAGAGGTAAATTCTCTCACTTTACTTCATATAGCTTTCTTTTATCTTGCTCTCAGCTTTCAAGTCAGGAAAGCAAGCTTTTTTCTTCTTTAGGCACTCGCACTCTTTTTGTCTTTTCCCCATGCACTATTATGCACGACAGAAGAAATCAAGGAAATCCGAGATTACTGCTCCACACTTGCTGCTTGAAGCAAGCGTTGAGTGGCTCAACGAGTTTTAATTTGGTATGACAAGCAATACGGACCAGTCATTTGTTTAGATTGCGTGAAAGAAAGTGCAGGAGGAATAAACGTTGTATTGGTCATCGTGCGTGCTTCTTAGCGATCGAGCCTTTCTAGAAGCAACCACCAGACGCTGTCTGTATGCGTATAAATAAACTCCATAGATCTCCCCTTTTTTTTTTCCGTCACTTATTCATTAGTATATATTAAAAAAAACATAAAAGAAAAATATGACAGACACAATTTCAAAAGCTACAAAGCCAGTCAAGGACACTGTATCCGGACAACAAGGCGGCGGTGATGACGGTAAAAAAAACATTGTCTCTGACACAACAAATCAAGCCACTGATACTGTCAAAGGCACTAAGGACACTGTAACAGATACGGCCGGTAAAGCTACGGACTCATTATTGAAGTAAATTGTCCCGGACTATGTTAGTTAAATTAGTTATTTAGTTTAGTTTTAAATGTTTTAAGTATTTCAGTTATAATATAAAATTTACTTGATCCCCTAAATGCCATATATCTCTTGAATTGAGCTTCAAGAATATCTAAAATACCCGATTAGGTCTTTACCTTAGCAATTATACTTCCAATTAATTAATTACCAATTAATTACTTAAATAGCAATGTTGAGTTTAATAAGTTACATATTGGTAACCCATTTGGCCTAAACTAGAAAGAGGAACAATTCATCTTTTAACTAAAGAGGCATTAAATTTATTTTGCAACCAGCTTATAGTTTGTCAGATTGCATGCTCACTAGAAAATTTTGAACCAAAAGGGCGAATTCTGCTCGCTTTAGTTAATACCTACCCAAGGGAACAGTCTAGTCTTTCCCTTTTTAGATATTCACATCTCTTGTCTTTCTTCGTCTGCTAAACATGAAAGAAAAAGATGCAAGGGATTCCGATATCTGCGAGAGACATGCAGTTCCCAGCTGTATGGTTGGGTGCGGTGTGAACGGCCGGGGTTCCTTCTCTGTGCCCCTCTGTGCCTTCTCTGTGCCTTACGATAATAATTACTCCAACGATTGCTTCAGGTAGCAAGCGTGAGACACATACGAGTTTTGACTTGGTATGACAAGTAATCCGGACCAATTTTTTTTGGATTGCTTGAAAGAAGGTACAGGAAGCATAAAGATAACGTTGGTCATCGTGCTTTCTTCTTAGATATTGCGCCTTTCCAGAAGAAAAAAGCAACCACCAGATGCTGTATATGCGTATATATAAACTCTATACATCTTCCTTTTTCTTCAGATATTTTTAATGTCATTATTCAAACTTATTCGTTATTTTTATATATTAAAGAAAATATTAAAGAGAAATATGGCGGATACAATTTCAAAAACTACAAAGTCCGCGAAGGACAATGTGTCTGATAAAACAGGACAAGGCGGTGATGATAATCAAGCTAACGTTACCGACTCTGCGCAACAAAAAGTCTCTGACACTAAAAGTCAAGCCACTGGCGCAGCCAATTCTGCCAAAGACACTGCACAAGACAAGGCCGGTAATGTACAAGATAAGGCCGGTAATGTACAAGACAAGGCTGGTAAAGCGACTGACCAGGCGTCATCATCTGTACCAGACACTGACCTGGTGACTTCTAAACTTCAAGAGTTGAAAGGTTCACACAAGCTCAATGANAAGGGCCAGGTGATTGACGATTCTGGAAATGTGCTAGCCACTTTCAAAGAGGGAAGTGGCCAGTTGAAGAGCGTTGCTGACAAGAAGGTTGACATTGACGAGAAGGGGAATTTGACAAGAAAAGGTAAGAGTCTTGGTTCCATTGAGCCAGCTCTTGATGAAGATGATGATTCTGATGATGATTCTGACGATGATTCTGATGAAGATTCTGATGCTGATTCCGATGAAGAACAGGAAGAAGGTGAGAATGACGCTGTCAATTCCGTCAAAGATAATGTGCAAGACAAGGCCGGTGAAGCCTCCGACCAGGTAACTTCAAAACTTCAAGAGTTGAAAGGTTCTCATAAGCTCAATGATAAGGGCCAGGTGATAGACAATGATGGAAATGTGCTAGCCACTTTCAAAGAAGGAAGTGGTCAATTGAAGAACGTTGCCGACAAGAAGGTTGACATTGACGAGAAGGGAAATTTGACTAGAAAAGGCAAGAGTCTTGGTTCTATTGAGCCTGCTCTTGATGAAGATGATGATTCTGACATTGATTCTGACGAAGATTCTGATGAAGACTCTGATGATGAAGAAAAATCGTTGGAAGGCTGCACTGTTCGTGAAGACGGTAAGGTTGTCAACGATGACGATGAAGTGGTAGGCCAAGTTGTCGAAGGGTCTTA